GCTACAATGCACATGAAATTATATATATATGTGCGAGAGAGAGAGTGAGATTACAAACAAAAAATATATAACTATGCATGATGCATCTGAAACCACCCAGTTTTAAAACATAAAAAATGGAAGCGGATGCAATAATAATAATAATGAGAAAGAAAATGTACTTATCAAATTCCAGTTCAAGTGAAATTAAATTTTCTGGCATTATAACTGGCCCACTCTTCTATGAGGGTTTAGAAATTGCAGCGTCTTGTTTTTTTGCCTCTCAAACTGTCAATTGACAAGACGGTCAAGAAATTGAGACGGACTTGATTCATTGTTGATCGCAAATATAATTTTATTAAGTTCAGTTTACTGAAAGAGCGTTCAGCACTAGTCACTGTATTGAGAGCCCGTGTTCAGAGAGTTAATGACAAGTGCAATGAACTAAACAGTGGCCCATTTTATTGGGATTTGTTTCGCACTCGCTACACCTCCCTTAGAGCCGACCGTGTTTCCCAAGCATCAGTACACAGCATAATCAAGAAGGATCTCCGTCTGGATCTAGGCCAACAGGGTATGGGTTCACCAAGATAAGGCTTCCGTTCAAACATGGCATAACCTCAAACAGCTGGAGGAAAAAAACTGGTGTGTATTCATGCCATTGGTAGGAAGACATACCACTCAAGTTATCGGATGCAATGCCTATAGATTTCTGTGCGATTTGACTGCTTAAACAGTCGCTTGAAAATCATCGTTCTCGTACATTACATATATTGTGGAAATCATACAGGGAGGAGTGGTGTACTTTGGACATATTTTTACGTCGGAGCCTTATGCAATGGAAAGTACGCTACAGGACTATTATTAAGATGAAGGGTCGTCAGACTGAACACAACAGAAGTATGAGTGAAATAGAAGTAAATAATATGAGATATAAAATAAAGCACCAGAGGAAAGAAATACATACCTTGACAATATTACTCGCCACTAATACTGTTTTGTTTGCAGTGCCAGAAATTAAGGATGCAGTGTTAGCCAAGTTACACTGCTAAATTAGGGACGGCTAGCGCAGACAGCCTTCGTGTAGCTTTGCGCGAAATTAAAAAAAAAATACTTATAATATATTACCTTTGCAGTAAAATTACCTTTATTAAATTGACTTGTATTCCACCTTACCGTACACAGAATCAGGCTCAGAGTACCAATTAACAACTGATATAGCAATTTGGAGGAGGGGTCCTTTGCAGAAACTTCATTCTAATATCTTATAAACTGCCACAAGAATAGCTTGGATTTGAAACTCCTACTCACTATATACTTTTGTGATTGTTTAGCAAAGCTTTCCGCATTTTTGTTTCCAGGGTCATAAAATACGATATTTGGATGCTGCTTTACTGAGTGAATAACAGCTCATGAATATATTGTTAGCGTCTGAATAAACAGACTGACTTGAGAGCAATAAAACTTTTCTTCAAAAGCAATAGTTCCTGAACATCCCCCAAGTTGGAAGCATTATTTCAGAAGTCCACATTATAGATTAACAATTGTCTATGACATCACTTAAATAACAGCTCATGAATAGCTGATTTGTATGCACTTTCAACAACTGAAGTACTGTAGCGTGCGATTTCTTGAACAGGTGTATTTATTTGAACTACTTAGTGTCACAACAGTCACCTTTTAGGGAAATATCTATGATTGAGTCTCTCTGATCTTCTGAACCGCAGTACAACCAGTTTTTAAAATAGGATGATGTGTAGTCGTTTTCTTATCTTAAGAAATACAGTGACATTCTAACGATTGAATGTAGGCAGTTAAATCATTTTGGCAGAATCAAAAGAAGGTTGAGAGCACTAACTAGCGTTAAGTATGGTGCAGAATGTAAATTAATGGTTGGGTTGGAAATCGAATAGAGAACGCTTAACAATTCATTAAAACTGGACTCATGCTATATCATTTATAATTATTTCTGTCTAAAAATATATGTGGAAAAATTGTTTTCGATCAGAAAAAAAGTATTGTTTCAAGTATGCATTGAAAATATAATGTATACTTTTCTTCTCATATTTTGAAGAATGAAATAATATGTTGTTTCCTACCGATTGTTAAATCACTTTGTGCTTGCAGCGACCTCTTCATCAATATTTCAACATTAAATATCTACTTTCATATTAAAATTTGTAAAATCACATTTATCAGTTGCAACTGTTAAAATAGCATAAAAAACATTATTTTTTTATTTTTATCTAATTCTTAAATATCTGAAAACACGCAGTGCAGGTTTATTTAGAATTCGTACAAAGTAAATAGTACAAAAACGTGCAAACACAATCTGTAGGCTTAATAGAAATGGGTGTATCAAACTTAGGACTTCATGAGTCACTATTATTTATTGAGATTTTTCTTTCACTTGTCTCATACATATGTAATCAACATTTTTGTAGTACAAGAGCACTGTTTCGAAATACCATATATAATATAAATATAGAGCTTAATATCTGAGTACATTAAAGTATGCTGGTAATTTTCATATCGAAAAATAACCATTTCTTTTATTGTAGATTTTTCCAACTTAAGTGGTTTGGTATTGGTTATAAGCCATTCAAGTTAAAACTGTCACTTAGCGACACATCTTCTACTTTACAAGTGAGCGTGGCTTATCTTGAACTGGAAATCTTTTACAATGATTTCCTATGGGACAAGTTCTTGGTAAGTACTCGAGTTACTAGTAAACAACCTAAATACACTGTACTTTGAACATCTAGATAAAATGTTTAAAATTACCCACATAGTTTCTTCTATACCAGCTATTAAAGTTGAGAGATAGGTATTCTAATCAGTGATGCTTGTCCAATATTAAGCAGTATAAGGTACGTTCAAAAGAGCCATAGCATACATAATGAGTTTATCCAAGTATTGATTTTTGATTTCCATGTAAATAATAATTATTTATAGATATAAAATTCATATAAATAACTATTATACATCACATTTTAGCTTTACTCCAAATGGGTATGACCACTTAGCTTTCCAATTTCTTAGAGATGCTAAATCTAATGAAATTGATGCTGACATAAGTAAAGTTAAATGTTTTATTCTTCATCCAGCACTTACCACTGATTGTTCACAGTTTTCCGAGTTCTTCTTTGGAATTACGAACTAACTAAACTACGTTTTTGATAAACAGTTTTTTTTTACAATTTCTTCAGAATTAAAAGGTTGTTATAAGCAGACTTACTACTTCAACTAATTGCCATTTTACTCCAACGTTCAGTATGTTGTGAACAAGGACAGATGTATAACGAAGAGATTAATCAATGGATAGTTAGATGGCATAGAAGTCTTAAAACAAGCACAGAATTAAAAAATAAAAAGTAATTTTCGAAGAAAACATTACCAATTAACATTAATTTGGTTATTTCAGAAAAAAATATATTTTAAGATCTGATAAGCATGGTTATAAGATTGAAAATGCTAAAATTTTGATATCTTACTTAAAATTGTTTGTCTGCTTGTTTATAGTTAAGCCCAAAACTACACAACGGGCTATCTGTACTGTAGCTATCACGGGTATCGAAATCCGATTTTCAACGAAATAAGCCTTCAGACTTAACGTTGAGATAATGGAGAAGGCACCGTCTTTCTTAATTAAGTACTTCAAAGAAGGTAAATAAGAAACTCTACTAAAGGTAATTACGACGATAATATCGTCCTTCACACCTCTACATCATTTATTTTCTGGTAGACTGTGATATTAATGTAATTATTTTCAGCCCATTGTGTATTTTTATGGTTGTGGTTTTGTTTCATTTTTTTATTTTTACTACCAACAAAAATTTCTTGAAACATAACCAAACCAGGCAGAGTTATTTTAGGCTTTTGTACGTTACTCTGTTGTTATTAGTTTCATATTGTTGGCTAGTTTTGATCGTGAAAAATACCTGTTCCAATGTTGTAAGATAGGATACTAATAGCTGGAAGTATAGACAAAAAAAAAGAACAAGTAAATTATGACGGATAAGTTGGTATGATAATAATTAAGTTCAATGACATTATAAAACACCTGTTGGCCTGGCATGGCAATCTGAGTGTCGCGGGTTCGAATCCCCGTCACACCAAACATGCTCGCCCTTTCAGCCATGGTATTTGTTGGTAAAAGAGTAGCCCAAGAGTTGGCGGTGGGTGGTGATGACTAGCTGCCTTCCCTCTAGTCTTACACTGCTAAATTAGGGACGGCTAGCGCAGATAGCCCTCGTGTAGCTTTGCGCGAAATTAAGAACAAACAATAAACCTGTTTTGTTTTTTGCTATTATTATTTAAAATATTCTTTATCATGGCACGATCTTTTCGTGAGAAAAAAAAATGGCTAATTATGCTTAGCTTTCTTTATCTTAAAGCAGGAAAAAACACATTGAAAGGATCAGAATAATTCGTAAAAATACTTTGTGAAATCCTTTTTTTTGTAATAAGGTTTTCTAATTTCAATATTTAGAGAGGTTTTTCATTTGTTACTGACAGCTACTAATTGAGGTTACATGGCTTGTAATGAACACTAACATCATTAGAAATTTAGTGTTCTTGTTTGTTTTATGTTTTTTCTCAGAAAATTTTTTATAGAAACATTGTGGCTACAGTTTATGTACCAAAGAAGTCTTTTTTTTCTGTAATTAAAAAATTAAAACATAGGTTTTTACTAAAAAATCAATCAATTGATAAACCTAATTTTGAAGACGATGGTGAAAATGTTTAACGTCGAACGGTAACAAACTTTGAAGAAATAAATATTCGATATTAGTGTTTAAATTTAAATTTTATATACCATTAAAATAAGGCATAATGAAAAACATTTAAAAATGAAACTATATATATATATATACAAGAATTTAATTGCCGTGTATAGCGCATGAAATACATGTTGACCATTAACACATCTGCTGGTTGGACTGTTACTATTACAAGCATATTTCTTCGTTTAAGAAATGCCTTTAAAATAAAATAAAAAAACTTTTCGCATTATCCACACTGCCAGATTTATTGAGTCTTAAAACAAATGACACAATTACATCATTTAAAGAAAGACTGACATTATTCAGTTCATTTAAATAGCTGCTTACACTACAAACATTTGCACTGTGAATCAGTTTTTGGCACAGTTAAAAGCTGGATAATAATAATTCAGCGCATAGCACTATCTGGTGCTTAGTATGTACATTTTTATTTCTTCTATTTGCAGACCAGCAGCTCCACGGGTTGATGTAACAATATCTTTCGTTAATATTTCTTGTGTTTGTAGACCAGCTCCACGGGTTGATGTAACAACATCTTTCCTTAATATTTCTAGTGTTTGTAGACCAGCTCCACGGGTTGGTGTATCGCATCTTTTATTAATATCTCTTGTATTTGTAGACCAGCTCCATGGGTTGGTGCATCGCATCTTTCATTAATATTTCTTGTATTTGTAGACCAGCTCCACGGGTTGGTGTATCGCATCTTTTATTAATATCTGTTGTATTTGTAAACCAGCTCCATGGGTTGGTGTATCACATCTTACATTACTATTTCTTGCATTCGTCGACCAGCTTCACGGGTTGGTGTACCACATCTTTCATTAATATTTCTTGTATTTGTCGACCAGCTCCATGGGTTGGTGTATCACATCTTTCATTAATATTTCTTGTACTTGTGGACCTGCTCCTCGAGTTGGTGTATCACATCTTTCATTAATACTTCTTGTATTTGTCGACCAGCTCCACGGATTGGTGTATCACATCTTTTATCCAAATCAGTTTCTCCAAACTTCGTGATTTCTTTTTGAAATGGCGCAGTTTCAAATGAAACAGGATATATCAAAAACGTACACTTACAGGTAGTGTAGAACAGTTTCTCAGAGTCCTAGATATTTCGCACGCGTCTTCCATACAACCATGGCTGACAGTTTAAAAGATCATTGTAGATGTCTAAATGCACCATCAACACTACAGTTTTTGTCTGCTTTACTGCATAGCATCTGTTTTGTTGAACCTTATCATTGGCTTAAAACGAGAGCAGCTATCTAAGCCACTCAGTATAAATGACTAATCATACATCAAGATGATTGACTTACTTCCCAAATTTGTAGAGTTGAAATAGGTAAGATGTTATTTTAATTCCACTTGTTTGTATTCTTCATTATGCATATATAAAAACTTTTTTATTAAGACGGTTAATTTTAAGAATGACTGGGAGGACAAAACCATAGCATGACACTATAATTTTAAGTGTGATAAATTCGGAAGTTTTAGTTAGTCAAGACACGTAAAAAATAATAATTAAGACACAAAGAATTTGGTAATGATGAACATAGAACTTTACGATGATAGCAATAGTGACATCATATATATGATGAATTTAGGACTTAAACAGCATATAGCCACGAAATAAGTAGACTTTGGACTGTAGTTTTAGCGCAAATACAGTAAGATGAAAAAAGCACTTAGGACTGCTAGTTAAATTTATAGCTTAAATTTAGGATTAAGAAGAGTAAGACGAGAACTGCAATTAAAAGTTAACACTTGGTTTAAAACTTCAAACCAAAGTTTCAAACAGCATGAAATGAGTTAGCTTGTTTCTATAAGATGTTATGTAGTGATTCAATAATCACTCTGGCCAACGACGAGAGCTGACATCAGGGTATTGAAAGTATTAGACTGAATAATTTTATCCTTGGGCTTACCAAAAGCATTAATCCCGTGTCTCTTAGTTTCAGGAAGAGTGTTCAGATGAGGTTGGGGTGGCTTGTATGTAGGAGAAATAACGATATCTGCAGCCACCTGGTTTTTGATACCGGGTCCAGTAGCCATCTTAGGGTTGGGCTGACCACTGAAACAGATATAATGTAATCGAAATATCAGAAGCAAGACTTATAAATGCCGATGTAGCAGAATTAGCCATAAAGGTGAATTATATATAGAATTTATATACATTTCCATATTTTATACCACTGCGCAAGTCAGAGACATGAAGCTAAAGTGACTAAACTATCTAATGAATTAGTTTGTTAATTGTTAAATACAAAGCTGCACAATGGGCTATCTGTGTTGTGCCCACCTCAGAGTTCGATCCCAGGTTTACAGCGTTGTAAGCCCTCTAGCTTACTGCTGAACCATTGGGAAGCTGATGGATTAGATGTCTCTATTTAAAGCTCAGATTCTCCATCTTTATAAATTTCACGGATAATACAAAGGTGAACCTTAGGTTCTTGTGTGAACGTTTTTAAGAGAAACAAACATACACAAACTTGAGTGAACAGAGTGGAATAGTAGTCGAAATATTGTTACAGAATATAAGATACTATTAGTAATGCTACTTTTATTAGAATATATAAACTTGTTAATCACAGAAATAAGTAAGTAAAAGGCGTAAAAAACTGAAATTAAATGTTTGCACATAAGCTTCCTATTCGATAAAGTGGTACTTTAACTATCATTAAAATCATTGCTATTGAAGCTACGTGGGTATTGATATCTTTGAACACTGAATGTACAAAAACTAAAAATAAAGTTAAATATAACCTAATTTGCCAAGTGTAAGTTAAATAAGTTTACTGTAAGATACACCTGCAATTCACAGTTGTAAAATATGAGTATAATACACACGTAATCTATCCAGACGCAAACCAGCACTTCTAGAGAAAATGATAGATTTACGAAAGATGTATCCAGTTAATGCCGCTCTCCTTCCTTTTTTGTCATACCACTCTTTTTTCTACTTTGTGTACTGTGTTTATGAGATTTATTACACATGCACTACACAGTTAGAAAAACTGGAAAATTTGGGGATAATACACACGTAATTTTGCTTTACTGTTAATTCTCTGTAAAACACTGATATCAAGACCGTTTCTTGTTGTGTTTTATTTACAGGCTATTACTTTACAACGAGCACATTTTATTCACAGTGCATCACTAGCAACTCTTCTAGATCCCCCATAGTTAAATTACAGTAAGAGTTTTACCAGTGTATAATACTTGTTGCACATTCTTATCGGAAATGCCCCCCAGTGGAACAGCGGTATGTCTGCGGACTTACAAAGCTAGAATCCGGGTTTCGATACCCGTGGTAAGCACAGCACAGATAGCCCATTGTGTAGCTTTGTGCTTAATTACAAACAAACAAACTTATCGGAAACAAAAGCGTGAGCAGTGCCTTGCCTTTAATGGTTGCTTGTAAACAAATTATAGTGTTCTTGTAATTGCATTAATTGTAGCAACTAATTTTCGTCTAGTTGAAGTTAAGTGAACATTGTTTTGTGTTGGTTGTGCACTTGGAATATAGAATGCAGTAATCTCAATAAAAATGAAGCAGCGTATTATGTCAGTTAGACGGTGTTGTTATGTTCTCCTTCCTGCTCAATAATTATCAACTAACATGCCGCGACAGTTAGAACGCGATGTGATTATTAACACATTTTTTTCTTCCAGCAAGACGAGGTAGCACCCATCGAGTGTACCTTGTGTTCGTAAGACACTGGAAAATGTCATACTAAACTGACGGATTGCCCGAGCAGGATCGTTATCTTGGGTCCCCACGCTCTCCAGACCTCACGTAGGTAGGCTTACGCTTGTAAGAATAACAAAAGGATACGGCTTAAGCCCCACGACCAGCTACACATGCTAATCTCAAGTATCATAACAGGGAAACAAATGATATACCTCCACAGCGCGTGCTTGATACATGGAAAAAAAATTACCTGCGGAAGGACGTTGAGATCGACAAAGGCCATGTGGAGATGGTATAAAATTTGAGGGTACATAAACAATGTTTTATTTATTGCATATTCAATCAATGTATACAACCAGATGTGGACACATGTATAATACATATCCAGTGTTTTATTTTGTATAACGTATCATTTGAATGTGAAATTTCAAATCTGGTTCACGGAGATGCAGTTTGTTTATATTCAAAATTCCTTACTTGGCCAATAAAACCATTCTTTTCTATTAAGGCGAATATTAAGTTACTCATTTTATGGTTTGATTTTTTTTTTTTTGTATCAAGGTTTTCAGTATTAATTTTCGAAATGTACCAGCTTTTTACTTTATTGGTTATATCAACATAACGCTACGAGATGCTATAGAAGTTATTCTGGGTACAGTATGACTGGTAATGTTTTAAAAAAGTAATTTTAGATGAGCCAGGTGAATATGAAACCACATGTGAGCCACTTTAATTGGGTACAGTATGACTGGTAATGTTTAAAAATAGTAATTTTAGATGAGCAATTAAAGTGGCTCACATGTGGTTTCATATTCACATGGAGTACAGTATGACTGGTAATGTTTAAAAAAGTGATTTTAGATGAGCCATGTGAATATGACGCCACATGTGAGTCATTGTAACTGGGCACAGTATGACTGGTAATGTTTAGAAAAGGTAATTTTAGGTGAACCATGTGAATACGACACCACATGTGAGCCACTTTAATTGGGTAGAGTTATGACTGGTAATGTTTAGAGAAGGTAATTTTAGGTGAACCATGTGAATACGACACCACATGTGAGCCACTTTAATTCAACTTTGTTCAAACGAAACTCCATCTTCGACTTTAATGATAAAATGCTGTACTTACGGGTGAATTCCAGTTTGTCCTTGCATGGTATTGCTCACAGTTTGTTTAGAGTACAATTTGAGGGGAATGTTGTACTGACGGTGTACAACCCTCGGTCCCGAATTTGAACCGGAAATTCCCGAATCAGGTGTTGGTGTTCTATCAGAACTTGTGGAAGTCGAGGAAAATCTCATTCCCTTTACAGATTCGTGTACCTGAGAAATGAATAACTCTTAGTTACTAAGTACGTCGGATACCATGCAATTGTTTCATCATTAGAAAATTACTATGTTTTCAAACTGTGCCCAAAACACTTGAATTAATACTTAGAATATTTATATGTGTAAATGATTTTAAGCAATGTTCACTACAGGACAGCTGGTCTCAAACACTGTATTTTCGTTAATTGGAAATACTGGTTTTTATTTAATGTTTTCTCTTGAAGAAAATTATCGTACTTAGAAACTGTTATGTGCAAAATTATTCATCGCTGCTGGTGTACCAGCAGTGCTGCAGCAAATATATTTATATAATTTTTGACAATTACAATAGTTTTTAAGAAAAAATTAAATTTCGAAATTGGCAAATAGCCCTTGTAATATACTACGATAATGCGAGCTTTATCTGTAATTTATGACGTAACATTTGAATTTATTGCTTCTGAAATCTCTTTAAATTATTATGAAAGTAACATAATTTGAAAACAGATATATTCGGATATTAAAAAGAAGTCGAATTTATCACATGTTCTGAAAAGTGGTTGCATATTGATATTACTAATGTTTTGGTACCTGTAGCTTCTTTTACAGTTTAGCAGGTTAGGTCTGTATATAAAAAAAGAACTCACCAAGGTAGTAAGTAAAACACAAGTATAATAACATCTAAAGACTTTTGTCAGTACTAACGTTACAGTATACTTTGGGATTGTGTTACTACTGATGAGTGAGATGCTATAGATGGCGTCTTTTCCTTGGGCTCAAAAAAAAACTTGGTACTCATGTTGTTGTTTTCCGTAGAGCTTTTTGAACTCAGGGGAAAAACATAAGAGTTTTAATTAACTAATTAATTATTAAACATGCGTTTAAGCTCTCGAGTAACTTGAAAGTGTAAGAAAATAAATCGAGAACGAATGGATTAGCAAGCAAAAAGTTTAACCATATTTAAAGTCCTAGGAAAAATCAAACGCATCATAAAACACGTCAAGAACAGCTCCAACCTATTTACAAATATATGCGAAATATTATGAAAAATCGGGGAAACCTTTTTGGCTTACCTTAGCTACCATTGTAGAATCGTGTATACGACTAGATGGCGAGTAAGTTTTATCCCAAGTCGGGTCATGCACGTGTCGTAAGTATGAGCCCATAGGGATATCATGCCTTGGTTTTGCTTTCGGAAACACCAACTGGACTGTCCTGTAAGGCTAGTATGAACGAGAGAATAAATGACTCTGATATCAATATCTATAGTTATTGGCTAAGCTAAGGCTTCTACATATTACTATTCGGTTTGAAAATATCCTACAGTCAAATAAATGGCGTTCTTAAAGAAGTTTTTGTCTCATCGTATCACTGTCCGAAACCAAACAGAAATACTTGTTATGGATTCATGAATACTCTTAACAAGAGATAGCAACATTTATACAAAAGTGAGATAATGTAATAAATTACTTTTATGCTTCAATTATTTGTTCTACGTTAAACCGGTTCTATGTTAAACAGATTCTATGTTAAACCGGTTCTATGTCGAACCGATTTAACTTCTATGATTTAAACTGCTAAGTTAAACTTAAAACTCTGATCTTAATTCTTTTGCAGATCTTTCTATCTTTGTTTATTTATCCTTTTAGCATAATTTATTTAACAATAACGGAAATTCTAAAAGAAAAATTATAATATTTTCACATCTACTAATCTTTTCTTTTTCCTTTATTGACATAATTTCCTTCAAATGTTGTGATACAACCTACAAATCGCTCGAAACGCTCCTATTTAATTTCAGGCTGTGCGACCTTTCGCCACAATATTAGTTTGACCTAGCAAGGCATAGACTTCACAAGATGTCAGAAGATGGTTTCTTTCTTTCATCGAAGAGCGTAGTCTGCATTCGGTTCACAGATGTTGTATATGATTGAAGGCTGTCTAATCATAGCCATTGTTGAAGGAATCGGTCAGATGGGACATAATTCGACCTATATTGTACCTTACAAGCCTGTCCATCATTTTATCCCTTAGTCTGTAAATAGTTGGCAGCTACATGTTTATTTTTTGTACGCAGCAAAAATATACCTTTTTGATTTTCAGTGTTGATAGACTCTAATAACAGATGTTTTTGAACAGCCGATCAAATAAATGGTCTTGAATAACAATAAAAAAGTTCCTACTAAACGAACACTAGAATCTCGCTTCCTAGAAAGTCGGAAGGATCCCCCACGTCATCATGATATGACTAAACCCCTGCTCAAAGAGTCTTCTGGTCTAACGCATTACGATTTGTTCTACAAATTGATAGGGTCCTAATAAAAGAAATATATATAGTATACAATCACTATTTTGGAAACTCCAAATAGGCTTATTACCTGACATATTTTGTTTAAGATGCATGCCAATGTGAAGCTTTATAACAATAAAATTATCACATGAGACTGGGTGATGTTTTAAAATTTGATGAATAATTAGCACACACACACACATATATATATATATAAATAGGAGCAAATTGCATCTAAGTAATGTTAGCGAATATACAACAGATTTGATGTCATGGTGGGAGATAATGGTGTGATATCATGGTGAAAAGTGATGAATTAATTAATTTTACCAACATCTTAACATGAACTCTGCCTGATAATTACGTTCTTTAATTAAACAAAGAAAACACGTGTGTTTATTACACTTTTAGTGTGTAGTATAAGGGCTATTTCAGCGTTTTATCTCATGAAATATGAACATTACATACTTATTGCCTTACGACGAATCATGTTGATTAAAATATACTGGACTTCGTAAAATGCTGAGCGCAAACAAATATTAATGTGTGAGTTAAGTATATTGTTTATATATATGTCTTTACCAATATATATATATACATCTCCAAATTTAATTTTAAATAAACCTATTAAATGCTTTCATAAATTATAGAGCAGAATATGTAGACATTGTTAATGTCGTTATGAAATAAAATAAGGCTTGTAATTATGAATATTGTATGAGACAAATACTTAAGACTTCAAATAATTAGATTTGTTAAAGTTATCTTGGGAACATTTTTAAACAAAGCTGAAAGAAAACTGTTCATTTCCATTCGTATCTTCTTCGATCATGTACTTATTTCAACTTCTCTTGGGCAAAAGTAGGTAATGTTATTATTCATTTGGCACGTCAAATGGTAATTTTATTTTATGTGTACATCAAATGTAACTAGAACCATGATTTATGTGTACACTGATTATAATTTAACGTTTCACAATATATTACATATTAACACATCTATCTTAGAATCTATCTACACACACACACGTATACATATAACACTCTTAAAATATACTGGCTATGGGGCGAAATATTATTTCTATAGTAGACATAATTCATGAAAGAGCTGTTGATTATTACGGTATGCTCTTGTTTTCATTATTGAATGTCTTCTAACCTGATGGTGTATTACTTGTTGTTCTCTCTGTTGCTCGTAAAAATAATCTTCTCGTTCGTAATCAGCTAAGCTCTTCGGTTCGGGATACTTCGGATGATAATCGGAACCCATTTTGACTGTCGGCAAAGTACTCGTTGTTGTTGGGATGTAATCTCGATAAATTTCAGCGGATGTTGACTTGATGGAGGTGCGCGCAGAGCTTGCTAATGGATGGCCTGTGCCTACGGGGCTAGGGGTGGTGGGAGTTGAGCCGAATGATGCTGCTGCTCCTGGAACTCTGGGGTTAAAAAATAAAAATAGATGCATTTTTCAAACTTTTATAAAAACATGCTGGTACACCTTTGTATTTCAAGTTCGTACTTTATATTACCATATGTGTATGTCTCTATTTTCTCTTTGTACCTTGATTTTCACATGCCCAGTTTGAATGTGTAGGATGATTTACAGTACTGACCAGATTGACTCTAATATACACCCCTATACACAGTTTGAATGTGTAGGATGATTTACAGTACTGACCAGATTGACTCTAATATAAACTCCTATACACAGTTTGAATTGTGTAGGATGATTTACAGTACTGACAAGATTGACTCTAATATATAAACTCCTATACACAATTTGAATTGTATAGGATGATTTACAGTACTGACCAGATTGACTCTAATATACACCCCTATACACAGTTTGAATGTGTAGGATGATTTGCAGTACTGACCAGATTGACTCTAATATAAACTCCTATACACAGTTTGCAATGTGTAGGATAATTTACAGTACTGACCAGATTGACTCTAATATAAACTCCTATACACAGTTTGAATTGTGTAGGATGATTTACAGTACTGACAAGATTGACTCTAATATATAAACTCCTATACACAGTTTGAATTGTGTAGGATGATTTACAGTACTGACCAGATTGACTCTAATATACTCTTCTATACACAGTTTGAATGTGTAGGATGATTTGCAGTACTGACCAGATTGACTCTAATATAAACTCCTATACACAGCTTGAATGTGTAGGATGATTTGCAGTACTGACCAGATTGACTCTAATATAAACTCCTATACACAGCTTGAATTGTGTAGGATGATTTACAGTACTGACCAGATTGACTCTAATATAAACGCCTATACACAGTTTGAATTGTGTAGGATGATTTACAGTACTGACCAGATTGACTCTAATATACTCCTCTATACACAATTTGAATGTGTTGGATGATTTTCAGTACTGACCAGATTGACTCTAATATACACCTCTAAGTTGCTAATATGTATAATAATGATATCCTAAGTATATGTTAAATTGAAGTTCCCTGGTGGGTCAGCTGAAAGTTTACGAACCTACAACGCTGAAATCCGAGATTTGATTCTCCTTGGTGGACAGAGCGCAAATATTCCATTGTATAGCTTTGCGTTAAAACAAACAAGCAAACAAAACATTAAAGTATTTAGCTTTACAAATTAGACTCATTATAGTCACCAAAGCTCCTGATTATACTCACCAAATATGCTAGTTGTACTCACCAACTCTCCTGATTATACTTACTAAATCTCCTGTTTATACTCATCAAATATTTTGGTTGTACTCACCAACTCTCCTTGTTATACTATTTGTATTTTTAGGTGGAGTTTACCTGGGAGCCAAATATAATTTGTAGCCAAAATTCCATAAGACTTAATCACCCTCACGTCACAATAAAATACATATGTTTTCTGTTTGTTTGCTTTCAAGCACAAAGCTAAACAATGGGCTAGCTGTGCTGAGTCTGCGGCGAATATCGAAAGCCTCTTCATAGTGTTATAAATCCTCAGACTTACCGCTGAGCCACCGGAGGGGAGGGAGGCGAATAATCAACTGCCGCTTTTACACCTATAGGTTTAGAAAATTTTATTTGAGATTTTTTAACATCATTATACACAAGTTAAAATTTCACAAGGCTTTTATATTTACAAAAATATTGTATATAATATGTTTCAGATTATATTAGAATGCAAGATTGTTACTCCTCATTCCTAATGAAAAATATCTATATATATTATAAAGACAGAGAATTAAGTTAACTTATAATCTAATTACAACAATAAATTGAAAACAAACACAAGTAGAAATGAAAAAAAATTCTCTAGTTAATAACTATTCTAATCTTTAGCGTACAAAGCAAAAATACGTGTAATTTTTAAATTGAAAGAAGACACGCCCACTTATGAAACCCTAGGATGTTAGGCTTAGTTTTAAAGCTAAAAATGAACAACATTATAATTATCATGAAAATTTCAAATATCTTTTGGTACAAAGTGTCATTCTTTAACTGCGCACTTCATTTGCTGTAACATACATCATTTTATCGTTTTGGGAAACATTTAAATTTTAACTTTTAACTTTTTAGTTGTTGTTTATGTAAATTCGCGACATTACTCAGAGCTGAACAACCGGAAGGCTATATATTTATAGAGTTTATAATTACCATGCAGGTGACGTAAATTGCTGGTTGCCTTTAACTGTTTCGTTTATGAATCACAAATTCTTAGTACCAAGTTTAATTAAGGCACACGTGTGTTAATATTCTGGCAAATGACATATTGACTTTATTACAAACTCTTTCCCAGCAGAAACCATCTTGTCAATTTCAAAACGAAGTATTCGATAAAGGTTCAAATAATAGCAAAATTCTTCTCGTGTTTCTAAATTGAGCGAAATTCCCTTCCTCATATAAGTATTGAAGAGTGTGAAACCAAACGTTCCAACATCTATTATCATAAATGACAAAATTTAATAGTAGCTAATAAAAAAAAAAGTTTCATAAGTTTGATTTTAAGTTTGGCATTCATATAATTTTTAGAGACAAGTGGCTTAAACTGTATATATATTACTCCTTATATATGCACAGTTTAGAGACAAGTGACTTAAACTGTGTATATATTACTCCTAATATATGCACAGTTTAAAGACAAGTGACTTAAACTGTATATGCACAGTTTAGAGACAAGTGGCTTAAACTGTATATACATTACTCCTAATATATGCACAGTTTAGAGACAAGTGACTTAAACTGTGTATATATTACTCCTAATATATGCACTAGTTTAAGACAAGTGACTTAAACTGTATATG